GTTGCTTCTCTTCCTTGCACGAAGATCTCGTTGCAACATATAGGTACTCATTCAGGCCTCTGTATGTCGTTATTACACTATGACGTACTTTATTAGTGCCAGTAGAGTCAAGTATTTTCTTTTCTCCACGTCATCCAGACCGGCTCTATGGCCCACTCAACCTCCTATCTAATGCGTATCGGGGGCTCTTTCTCCCGGGGTGAAGCGACAAGGGTGTGAAGCTGACCACTCACCTCTACCTAGTGCCGAGGTCAAGAAAATGTGGATCTATACATCCGCTCCCCCTCACGTCTTCATGGCGTAGTGCTTAATCAGTTAAGCACAGGGACAGCTTTGCCTTTCTTACCTTACGTACTTTATTAGCGATGTAAGGTGGGTCTCTTGTTACCACGGAGTGGCACATCCTTAGTCTGCGGAGGAAACTTCCAGATATGGAGAGTAACCATACGAGACGGAGCACTCTTTCCGGTTTCGTGATGGGCGGAGGGCTAATAAAGTGTCACTGCCCACACCTCCTTCGCGAGCCTGTTCTACCAGACCTTATACGCACGCACACATACACACACATATTGTGGCGTATAGACCCGTTGCTAAGCGATGACTCTGTAAACAGCGGTCGTTGCTAGGTAACGCCCGCAATATACACGCACGCAACAATGGAAGAATGGGGTTATGGAACCCGTTTCTAAGCAATGGCTCGGTAAACAGGTTCCAGCGGAAACGAAAAGGCACAAGAATAGAAGAACGGTGTTTTCGAGGTCATCCGCGCTGAGGAGTTATCTTGGATGCAATTAAGTTGACCAGTTAAGTTGTCTGATGCATTTCCTGTTGAGAATAAGGCGTATCCAGTGGGTATCATAGGCCCTGTTCATGGGGGTAGAATATCTGTGGTGTGAAACTGACCGCTCACTCCACCTAGGGGAGAGGTTCGGGATCTGTGAAACTATAGTTTCAGTGACCCCTATGACCTTACCGATTTGATGCTCAGTTGAGCTCGGGGGAAATTTTACTTTTTTTTTTCATTTTATCACCTATGACCCGACTAAATGAAATAGAACGTGGATCTAGGGAGTATAATTATCGTGTGATAAATTAATTGATATATAATCTTACATCCCAGGTGACGTGATGTACCAATGTTTGGCTCAATTGTTGCATAAGAAGGCGGAAGGCTGTTCCACCCGAATGAGTTCAAGTCATGCCATGCCCGGGATTCGAATATTCTTCTGTAAATCCAGCCGCTTCTTTCACTTCTGTAATCTTTTTGTCGAATGAAAATAATCATCCTACCAATATAAAAGATATTGTACAGCTGTAGATTAATCGTTGACATTACGCAATTTATGATTGCCATAGCAACGAATTATCGAACATTTACACGTTTCACGAAATTAAGTTGTGCAGTAGGTCATGAATAAGCGAGCAGATCTTTGTATCGGCGTATCGTGTCTATTCTGTGATTATTCATATTCTGATGTGGATATGTTAAGCCGGGATATCACAGTCGGTATAGCGACTGGCTACGGGCTGGACGACTGAGGAGTCGGAGTTCGAGTCCCGGAAGGTTCAAAATTTCCGGCAGAATTAAGGTATTTTTCTCTTCTCCATGATGTTCATACCGCCTTTAAAGCCCACCCACCCTACTGTCCAGCGGGTACTCCGGTCTGTTTCCCCAGGAGTAAAGCGGCCTCTGCGTGAAGTTGACCAGTCGTCTTCGTCTAATGCCGAGTTAGGAATGAGTGGCCCTGTACCTCCACTCCCTCATACATCTTCTGGACTTGATGTCTATTTAAGTGCAGGTATAGGCTGATTCATATGTGATCGACTTCGAGAATTAAGATAGAGTTAACAAAAATTGAGGTAGGATTATTGTGACTGGGCCATGAGGAGGGCTGTTGACGGATGTAGAAGTATGTCGGAGGATGTGGTCGCGGCGTATTATAAAAATATTGCCAGAATTTTCCTAAGCGTGCCGTTCCATAATCATCTTTTTGGGACACTTTTCTGTAACTTAATGTATTGCAACAAAATATGAATATTACTGCATTCTCGAATGGGAGGCCGTATAGAGTGGTACCGCATTTCAACCGTTTCATTAAGCATGTTGACATAGCAGTAACGCTCTGTACTCGTATTCTGGAAGTGCCCGGTTCGAATCTCCACCATGACACAGGCTATCCTGATAGGTTTATTGCTGTATGCCGCAGTCCCTTCAGGAAAATGCGGGGTAGTACCTGGAGTAAGCCGCGGCGACTCCTTTTCGAGCCCTTTTCACTCATCACTCATTCTACCATATGTCACTATAATGTAGACACTGACAGTTTCGTGAAATACCCCGCAAAACTTTCCCGTTCTTGTTCCTTTGTATGGAAATAATGAGAATGGCAAGAGTGACACAAGAGGCAGCCCTCACAGACAGAGCACGACAATAAACAAAGGCTGATGGGCAGTGAAGCAGTCCTGACTAGTGATTCAGCGGTAACCGCAACTTCACCCGGTGACCTGACAGTTAACTACTCTAACTAAAACACGTCTAACCTCAAAATAAAACACGTTCGTCACACTAAAGATCATGGTAAATACAAGAAAAGGGCGTGAACCAGATCCACCCTCGTTTATAAGGTCTTGTAGTTGTGGTTTACATAATGAAGTTGTCATAGCGTGGTCTGGAGGTAGGATGAGGTACTGTCCCGTCATCTGCCCAAAGGACTGAAGAAAACACCGGAAAATCCTCAGTGTAAAATAATTGTATTCTGGCCGAATATCTCGCGAACAGAACTCAATTGTTACAGCTTAAGCCATGTTGCTCAGTGATATTTGGAAAGCATTCGTTTCGTGTACATTGAGTCGCTGTTGGAAAACCACTAACAGCGTGTTCGACTGCGGAAAGTGTGGGTTGACGGGCGAGAAATGTTCAGGTGCATGGGTTACATTTCTGCTACTGAGTTTCCTGCGCATGTGTATGCAAGAGGGGGTGCAGTGATGTCATTTTCCGTGCTCCTTAATGCTGTGTCTTGAGAAGGATTTGGTTGACCGGGATAACTTGGGTTCTGCTTCAGTACATACTGAGAAAATACTACTGAAGTTTATTCAATAAAAATTGCGCTTTATTATACAACAGTTATATATCAGACACTCTTTTATTACAATTGGCATAGCATATACAAAAATAAACATATCTCTGTGGAGATAGGTTTTAAATATACTTTCTGTCATATATGTACATAATAGGACATTGCTTGGTCGTCAACTTGTTATCTATTCTACATGAGCAAAAACATGGGTGCATGCTTTGAGTCAGAAAATGTACTCAAAATGACTGCACCAGTACATTATTATTATTATTATTGTTATTATTGGCATTATTATTAATCTACTGTCATTATGTAGACTCTCAAATCTTGTATTTGTTTTTTAATTATTTTTATATAATTCTATGTACTCACGCTAACCTTTTAATTGGCCTCTGTGCTGTTAAGTTGTACGTAAATAAACATGAATTGAATTGAATTGAATTAGGATGTTGAGCTGCCACACGAATAAATAAGAATTGGGTTATTATTAACTTCTATGAGTGTGTGTATGTGTATTGTCCTTTCTCACCACGTAATGGAATAATCATTCGAAATGTACTTATTTTATTTTCTCACCTGTTAATGCTCACTTTAATTTTTCTTGGAATTTTTATTAATTTACTGCAATTATATAGACTGTCTTATTTGTATTATGTCTTTTAGTTATATCTGTATTCCTATGTACTCGTGCCAACTTTGTTATTGGCCTCTCTGCTGTTAAGTTTGCACGTAAATAAACATGAATTGAATTATTATTATTATTATTAGGCCATCAGCATATTTCTGACAAATTTTCATACTTCCAGGCGAGTTTCTGAAAGATGTTATTGCCTTCCTGTAAAATTAATCGAAAATATTTTACACGCTGTTTAAAAGTTCATTAAAGAAAAGTCCTTATCTAGAAGAAGCTGCATGTGACTAGCCAAATAAAATACTGAAAGTATATCTTTCCTTAAGACTCTATTCATGAATGCCTACTGTCAGATTAAGTTACACACCATCACTACGGGTCTTGTTTCCAGCAGTGGATTAATTACGTAAGTCGCGCATTTCATTACCACTGAGCAGAAAATATAAGCGAACCTGTGAAGATGCCTTGAGTTTTACGAGTATCTGTTACCATGCTAACTACAGACTAACAACTGTGGATATTCTAGTTACTCCTAAGTTACTTTTCTAGTTTAAACCTAATTAAGTTGCTGTATTCAGAATATAACCATCAAATTACGAATGGTACCAAAGCTCTATGTGTTGTAAATCCAATTTTTTTTAACCCTTATTGGATCATGATTAGAAAAACATTTTGTTTACTCAGCGTAAATTATTCGGAGCCTTGCGTCACGGTTCTGGTAATTGCCTTCAACACATTAAATACATTTTCAGTTATTGATAAAGAAAAGATAGACTTAGCCCTTGTAATTAAATAAGTGGTAGGCCATGAAGACGTATGGGGAATGGAAGGATAGCTCCACCTCGGTACTAGTTAAAGTTGAATGGTCAATTTCACGCCCCGGCCGCTTTGCCTATGGGAAAGAGCCGCTGGTAATCATTGGATAGAAGGCTTGTTGTGTTCCAGAATCCGTCTGGGCACTGTGGAGAATGGGAAAACCTTGCCACCGCGGAAGATTGGACTCCGGCTGTCCAACCCCTATATCCACTGAGCTACCCTGACATCGAACAGTTATTAGTACAGAGGCTTTATACATTAGCAAGTGTTAATTTAATGACACGACACGGTGGTGATATTTGTGTACATCAATCCGCAAAAATGTCCTGTATTTTACTTTATTGCTTGTGAGCTGTGTAAGGTATTGTAAAGGTCGCGCCATAGCTAAAGCTGTTAGTCGCTGGCTTCTCACCGTGACGGTCCGGGTTCGAGCCCGGGTCTGGTCAAGTGGGATTTGTGGTCGAGAAAGTGGTGCTGGGGCAGGTTTTCTCCGAATACTTCGGTTTCCCCTGCCAATCTTCATCCCACTAAATTCTCCATCATCATAATAACTTCTTTATATTACAGCATTTCTTACAGAAAATTCACGCACGCCAATATGATTTCACCGTACACGGCGTTTATCGTGCTAGTCGGGGACTGCCTATAATCTGATAACAGCGTTTTTCTTGTCTAGTATCATAGTATCGCCTCTTTGAAGGCCCTAAAATTTCGGGGGCGCACAGTGGATCCTTCAGCGATGTGAGTGCTTGGTGAGGCTATAATAGGTTCCCCGAAATAAGTACCAACATCACTGATAGTTTCATTCTGAATATAGTGTAATGTATTACAACGGCATACATACATGCTAATGTGGAAATACAGTTAAGTTATGTAAGTAACGTACTAATGGCGACAGCTATTCTGATAAAGTTCGTATCGATTATTTACCAGGTTTGGGATACTGGTATCCAGATTGAGGCGAGAATGACGGTGTAGAGGGACGCTGGCTTCCAGCACTTCCGCCAAAACCACCTGCGCCGGGACGCCCGCCACCAAAACCACCTGATGGCCCCGCTCCTGTAGAACCCAAGGAAAAGCACCTCAGTCACTGAATAATGCAAGTAGGCATGTTGATGAGACTAATTACTGTTCAGATAATGGACGTGGCCAACTATTATTATGCGCTTTATTCGGGGCACTCTTACGAATCGTTGTTGGCAGTCCGTATGGTTCCGAAGGCTTCTCGTGAATATATGCAATACTTTGGTCACAGCAGTGAATATGAATAGTACTGTCTTCAGGGATGCAGCGTCGTTATTTGGTGTATCATTATCGACGTTTCGGAGAGGTTCCTTTCCTCGATCTTCATGGTAGGAGAATAAGTTGAAGGTGGAAAAAAAGTAGTACGAATGTAGGGAAAGGAGTAAGTGGCTCAGGGATCTTCAGAATTCTGCCAGGTTGCACGGTGTCGCTCTCAATAGTTGTGCAATTTACGAGAATTATGACTGTTTTATATTAGTTTTACCATTATAGTTGCGTTTAAACAAGATGCAAATAGAATTAATTTTAAATCAAACCGAAAAGGTACTGAGGATGGTGTATCACATTTGATCTTAAGTACAGTTCTTTTTCTTCTTTTTTTATCATATAAGTTAGCGAGTCCCTTAAGAGTTTTCATAATTTTATGTCTAATATTATCACCTCGCAGATATATTCCCATATTACGGATGATGGTGTTCATAAAGTCAAACTGGGCATTCACAATGCACTTTATTTCAAATCTTTAGAAGACTATTATGGTCTGTGTAATACTTAAAAAGTTAGTTCTTCCTCCTCAGAAAACAGAGGCAGAAGGAAATAATCGCTGCTTTTTCTGTGAATATTATGAAACTCAAATAGATTATATTCTGTGGACGAAATTCAGGGCCTTTTGGTGTTGAAGTATATTGATCACATGGTTATCACTGTGCTTTAAATGTTAAAATTCTGCTAATAATAAAAACATGCATTCTTCTTTACGTTTACCCAACAAATTGATCAACCGGTAACGCTTTTGGGGTTCTCGACCGGGATATCCATTATCTTGACTGGGGTTTCTTGTGGTTTGCCTCAGTCCCTCCAGGGAAAAGTTAGGAGAGCACCCTTAATTAGACCACGACCGATTCCTTTCAAAATTTTCTAAGTAATAATTCACTTACCACCCTACCATTTGACTAAGATACTGACACTGTCGTCAAACAAAGCATAAATAAAGCAAATAAAATTAATTATTCGTGTTGAATTTGCCCCAATCCAAAAGATGGTGTAGACATATTGAGTATATATCTGCACGAAATAAAGGGCGGAATTAAACTACACACCTCCGGAAGCGCCACCTGGATAACGTCCAGCACCACCGGGATATCCACTGGCACCGCCGCCACCTCCACTGGGATATCCACCGGCACCGCGGCCGCCTCCACTGGGATATCCACTAGCACCTCCGCCACCTCCAGTGGGATATCCACCGGCACCGCCGCCACCTCCACTTGGATATCCACCGGCACCGCCGCCGCCTGCACTGGGATATCCACCGGCACCGCGGCCGCCTCCACTGGGATATCCACCGGCACCGCCGCCACCTCCACTTGGATATCCACCGGCACCGCCGCCGCCTGCACTGGGATATCCACCGGCACCGCGGCCGCCTCCACTGGGATATCCACCGGCACCGCCGCCGCCTCCACTGGGATATCCACCACTACCACCGCCGCCTCCACTAGGATATCCGCCAGCACCGCCGCCTCTAGCTGCCCCTGCGGCCTCTTCGCGTGCGTTCTGCTCCAGGGACCTGAGGATGGCCTCTGGTATGGGCGGAGGGGTGGGCAGATGGTCACCTTGTGGGACGAACCCGTTCTCATCGGCAGTGTAGGTGAGGCTGATGGTGATGCCGTCAGGACCAGTGTACGAGTAGGAGCCCTGAACTGTCTGCGCCTCGGCGTCGGGCCCTGCGCCTGCGTTCTTCAGGAAACCCTGCTCCTGGGCTCGGGTGCCGTCTCCCGTCTCGTAACTGCAAGTCACGAACAGGTGGAGTACGGAAACAGGACTCTGGCAGGGCAGACCTCATGGGCCATTGCATGTGGTAAGTTAGTTTGGGATATTTCGGTGTGCAGTCTGGTAGCCTACTTTACTTATATACCCTGAGCATGGAAGCAGAATTTTCCTCCGACAAGTTTTTAGCAAACGACCGAGCTACGCAATGTCATATCTCAGAAGGAAATAACATTCTTTGTTATTTGCTTTTGTGCAGAATTTTCGAGAGTGTCCACTTCGCAGTCGAAATTTGTCAGAAATTCCATTATATTTAAGGATGAGATGTTATATTTTATTTTCAACAATTATATTTAGTCAAAATTTCACGGATTCCTTGTTCCACTATATGTTTCGATACCCTCAGCAAGGATAATCATCAGATGGTGCTTTTACCGGTTCTCGCGGTCTCTTCGCTTGCGGATTTCTTATATTTTTCCTTCTACCCTGATGATGGAGGCTATACGGTCCTCCGAAACGTCGGTTAACACCACATATACACGGTCAAATCCCAGAAGACTGCTTTCTTCATTGGATAATGAATTCGTGAAGATGTGGCAGATTATCTGTATGATTTTTACGAAACGAATCATATATTTTATCCTCAGGGGTTCTGACGATGATATATAACAGACAGAATTACCGGGGTTTTGGACCTTATCCATCGTCCTGTATTCTAGAGACTAGAAAACACGACGTTTCGGAAACTGGGTCTGTTTCCGTTCTCAGATGAGAGGGGGAAGACACCTACTCAGTTGGGCCCCTTAGAAAGAGGTGGACCCAGTGATTGAGATTTAAATGTACGAGTATATGGAAGCGTGGAAGAGGCCTTAATGTTGAACTGAATATTAGTGTAGCCAGAGCACTCTTCCTTCTCATTATATTCAAGGTTAATACTACGTGTGTGAATACTGAATGTTAATTTCAGCGGTTTTGCAAGTAGCTCACCTGAAGGAATAGCTGCCATCTCCATTGTTTTCATTTTCGTAGCTCAAAATTGGAACCACTGGACCTGATGGTCCACCTCCTGCTCCACCGCCAAAGCCTCCGGCACCGGTTCCACCGCTGTATCCACCACCGGCACCGCCTCCGAAACCTCCAGCGCCTCTACCGCCACCAGCACCGCTGCTACCGCTGTATCCGCCTTCAAAACCTCCGGCACCGCCTCCAGCACCACTTCCACCGCTGTATGCGCCTCCGAAACCTCCGGCGCCTTTACCGCCTCCGACACCACCACCGAAACCTCCTGCGCCGCTACTACCTCTGTAACCTCCTCCAGAACCTCCTCCGAATCCACCGCTGCCACCTCTTCCTGATCCTCCAAACGGAGCCTGGATGGCACCAGGAGAACCTCCAGAGCCGGCTGCTCCAGAAGGAGGTAGGTACGTGTTGTCAAGACTGGCGCATGCAGCCGTGCAAACCAGTGCCGCAACCAGCACCTGCTTAAAGTACGTGTAAGTACATTAACTGTACGCAAAATGTGACTGAATTATGCAGTAGTAGTTTCAGGGTTTCACGGTGGTTCATAGTTGATGTTGATTCTGGACTTGGATATTTGCACCGTGTGGATGTGAGGAGTGTGGCCCGATGTTTCGGAGATACACACTGTCACCATCTTTAGGATTTTCGTAAGTAGAGTGAGTGAGTGAACACTCAACATGAACAACTTATATGAATATTATACTGGATTTCGTCCATTGTCTCGGCTCTATTTGATATCCACGACGTTTCGGAAGATAGCTCAGTTGTATCCTTGGAAATGACTAATCTAGATCACAAGGCTAATACTGTCTTGACTGCGTCCTGAAGGCGGATTATGGCGAAGAGTCGGAAAACCAGATTTTTCCTCTCATCGCTGCTGGGTAAAGTGGGGAGAGCTACCAACAGCCTTCAATACTCATTCAGACGGTAGAGCGTACTGTATTGTGTTATCTCTTCTGTAATTATGTTATATAACGACGCCGTCAGTGTCGAGTCAATATAGCGTCTATGATAGGGTGATTCATGAATGTGGAGCAATTAGAATAAGAATTGCCAGGTGTAACAGAAACACCATGAGAAAAACTGCCTAGTACCAGTTCGTCTACCGCAAATCCCACATGTTTTGATTGTATTGTGTCATCTTCTGATACATACCCAGTGTTAAGTATAACAATTATAAATCCTTTAGAATATTATGCCACATACTGTGTATGACTATAGACGGGGTTTGGATTGCTGAATGGATTTGTTGACCACTTATATCCACCACTCGGAACTACACGTAATTACAACGGCATCGCTGATCTCCAAACTTTACAACTCACCACAGCACCCGTTACGTCTTTCCAAGCCTTCTATGTCTTCACGAGCCTTTCGCTGGTAACGGCTTCTAACAGTGGAGATTCTTCAGCTTCAAGCGCTTAGGTTCTATCTTCATAGCTTCCCGTGCAGAACTCAGACTTGGTCGCTCCAGTTGTCGTGAAGATAACTGCTCGGCACGGCCCGCTCAGACAACAAACCGCTCATTCTCATATGCTAACAGCCCCCCCCCCGAAAGTGTTCGCGTCGCCAAGCAACGGGTTACGTAACACCGTTTATTAAGAATCCGCTGCTCCAGCAGCGAGCGTCGTTTCATGACTGTTACCCAGCAACGGGTGTACACGCTACAATAGATTTACTATATGCGGCTCTTGCTTTAACAGTTAAAAAGAATCGGTTTTGCTCACAGAGTACATTGACAGCCAACTGCTCAAGCTGGTTCATTGCTCGCGGATTTTTCTAATCTGAAGATGGAGACGATATGTTCCTCCGAAACGTCGGTTCACACAGGATTCACACGGTGCCCCATCCCACATTCTTCATAGTCACTGCCGTGAAAACCTCAAATCTGACAACCACTATATTGGTTCCACAAATTAATCTTATCGCTTCCACCCTGACTAAGGAAGCGGTATATTCCCCTGAACGCCCGTAGTACAAACATGTTCATTTCTTGACCGCTGATATACCCACAAGACGAAATAATGGAAAGCGGTTACCTTACAAATATCATATTTCAAGCAGCCTCATTAACGAGACTGCGTGAGGCGTAGAGGTGGTTATCAAGACGGGAGAGTGGTTCGTTTTGTTGCGTGAATGAAGACGCGTACACGTTACGTAATGCGAGTCCGCATGAACGGTTGCAAAACCGTGAAACAGGTTGAGTTTAATTAGTAGAGGGAAGTGAATTAGGCGTCCGGTAGTGAACGATACTGTGGCAATATGGTGAGATAATTACTGTACACGTGATGTAACTAGTGGGTCACTAAGAGCGTGTTTTAGAGTAATTTTAGAATAAAATGATACTCTATTCGAAATATCTCGCGAAGCACCTCTCTTCACACATATACCGCCCGCTTTAACGTTAGAGAAGTCTGCATTTTTGCCCACACATTTTATTCCGTATTATCCGCTTGTGTTTCCTGTGAGCTGGGGACTGAATATTTAGATATTATTTACAAGAAATTTGTGATACACACGCTTCTAACCACATATACGCGTGAGGAAATAAACATCAAGCCCAATGATGTAATAGAACATTAGCGTCGAACCTAATGACCAAAACCTCTGTTAACGTGCGTAATAAACCACGGGAAATTAGGAAAGAACTGAAGAGATAAATACATAAGGGCACCCAACTAACTACATGGAGCTGAACCTTTCTTGAGAAGCCGCCATTTGTGCAGCTATTCAAGAAATCCTCAGCATTTTATGGAACTCGAAGGTTCATTACCATGTTCACAAGAGCCCGCAACTGGTCCATGTCCTGAGCCAGATCAGTCCACTCCCTACCATCCCATCCTATCTCTCTAAGGTTAAGGGCACCCAACAAGCCCAGATTGAGATTGAGGACATAAAAAGAAGTAAACACGGAAAATGATACAGAGAAAACAGCTGAATAAATAAGCTAAGTTGAAAGAAGACATAATTTGTTCATTTGCATCTATTAACACATGTGGTGTGGTGTGGTGTGTAGGGTGTGTGGTGCGGTAGGATATGTGATGTGATATGTGGTGTGGCGTGGTGTGCAGGGTGTTGTGATGTTATGTGATGAAAGGAGATGCGACAATGACACAAGTAACAATATTATTTGGTGTAAAATTAGCCTGGTTGCGACGAGCTGATCACCCGCCCAAGGAGTCCTACCGAATGTGTAAGATCTAGAGAAACCGAAGTGAACGGAGAAGTTCATGGAGGTAGGTCTAAACCCACTGAGGCTGTAGTGCCAAGGGAAAAAAGTTATCCTGGAGGTTCGGGGATTGCAGAGCCTCAAATGCAATTCATCATTTTTGTCGAAATAATCAGATACTTAAAGAATAATTTAGATATTGCGAAATAGATTATTTTTGTTTCAGTTAATTGTTTCCTAAAAGGAATCCGAAATATAATTTTGACAGCTCTTTAAGTTCATTAGAACGTTCCATGTATGCGTATATATAGATACATGGCGGTAACATTGAATCACCAGAAGGTAGATGTTCTTTTCTTTTAACTGTGACGTAATGTAATCGCCTTGGTATTGTGGCGTTATGCTTTTGTTTCGCACTCCTAGAGTTTCGTTACGTAGCTCTATAATAACCCTAGATCACGTCTTTGTACTTCTTACAGAACAACTAATCTGATGCTAGAATGACCTGCCGACACAAGATTATTTTAGAATTTACCTCACACATCATGCGGTTAGCCGTGGGTTCCCAACATCGGTTCATCTGTTTTAATCGTAGTCCTCCTGAGTTGCAGAAATGAGAAGTGTGATATCATGTCTAGACATGTTGCATGTTTGTTCCTCTAGGCGGGTTATTATATAACGGATTCATACGAAATTTAGTATTGACATTTTGCGTTAAGTTTTACCTGTATTTCACGTAATCTGAAGTAATTACGTAAGATATGAGTTACTCACTGTGGTGAGTACAAATATTACTGTCTTTCTGGATGTGGATTCCATACAGTGTGGTAGATAGTTACCAGTTTTTCTTAGGAACCTGTTGCCTTCATCTTTAGGGTATAAGAAAAAAGCACAGGTAGGAGGGTCTTCTAGAAAGTTGTTAACTGTTAACCAGACTAGACGCTGTCACATCCCAGAAGGCACTGCACTGATAGAATTTATGGTACTTCTCTTTCAGAATCATTTTTAATTAACTTAGATTATTTAAAAATGGTTTATCGACTGGCTATTACACTATTATTTCATTCATTCATCAATGACTCCACAGCCCTTTGTTGGGCCCTGGCCTCTTCTTCAGTTTCATAATCCTTTTTACACAGACAGTAGGACTCCTTGAAAGGGGGATCAGCCCGTCGCAAGGCCGCTACCTACACACAGGACAGCACAAACACAAAATAGAGACAAACATCCATGCCTTGAGTGCGAGTCGAACCCACGATCCTAGCATTCGAACTAGCGAAGACAGTTCATGCTTCAGACCACGCGGCCACCGTGATTGGCTGGTTGTTGAACTAAAAACGATTTATTTTTTTAATTTCGTGGATTGTATATTCGCAGCGAAACCCTTGAATTACTCAGAAGATAATAACGATTGCTATCCTGTCGTTATTCATTTGTTATGTACGTTAACAATTAGTTACAAAGAAAAGCATTAGATGGCATTAGTTAATATCATATGGACATGTGGTATAGTCAGTGATGCATCGTCCGATTTTGTTGAAGAAGTTCAGAGTGTAATTCTGTATAGCACTACCGCTTGATTTGTAGGCCTATTGTTATTCTATCAAGTTTAGGATCTTAGTATAAATATGGGTGTCTTCCGAGAACTTTGAGGTTAGGTATGTTGGAAGGAGTTTGTTTTCATTTGTAAAAAACTGGAATGTATTTTGTAGATTTTATACAATTGTTGGCTTTTTGAACATTATCTATGAAAATGATTTCAGATCTGTCAGAAGTATTCCCCACATACCCCGCGGATCTATAAAAACGATCTCTAAATAGCTCGCTGATCTACACCCCGCTGTTCCCCAAATACTCACAAGCTTCATGTGCAGTGGTCCCATGCTCGTTGCCGCTGGGATGTTGTGCTCCACTTGCCGTAGTGCCGGTCAGTATTTATAGTAAAAGTGATGCATCTCCCCCCACCGTGAGCTGCTGCTGATGATGATGAAACGAGATCATCCCTGTGCACCACATTGCTCGCGGGTGCAGAGGAGCTGGGCACGCACTGCACTTTCTAACAGACGCGGCTCTTCGCGGCTTGAAGGACTTGCTACGGTTTTAATGCATACGTAATCAGATCCTGCAGTTGTGCATTCAGTTCGGAAATCTTGCTTATGTGGAGTTACATATGTGCTGAAATGGCGGGTTCTAACCCCCTGTTTATCTCCGTTAGACGCAAAAAACCACAATTTTGGGCGCCATATCGTACGAAAAGGAGGAAGAAGAAACTGATAAAGATGGTTAAGAAGAATAAATTCAATGAGCTGGGAGAGACTTATTTACTCATGGAGCTGAGCCCTTAATGAATTTCCCTGCGTTTTATGGAACTCGAAGGTTCATTACCGTGTTCACAAGAGCCTTCCACTGGTCCCTATCCTGAGTCAAACCAATCCAATCCATACCATCCCGTCCTAGGGGGCACTCTGTAAAGTAATTGGTTAAGTCACTATGCTATAAGCCTGAAGGTCGTGGGTTCACGTCCCGATGAGGTCATTGGATTTTTTAAGTTGACCTAATCCTTCCAGCAGTACTATGACCCTGGGGTCGACTCAGCCTCTAACAGAAATTAGTACCAGGAATATTCTTTTGGTTAAAGGGCGGCCGGCGCGTAGGGATGACAACCTCACCGCCATCTATGAGCCGATTGTCTAGAAAATGTGGGAACTTCAACATCTCAACCATATGGACCTCCATGGCCTGTTACAGGGATACCTTTATGTTACTTTTACCATCCCATCCTATCTCTCTAAGACCCATTTTAATATTGCCCACCCCCTACGCCTCGTTATTCCCAGTGGCCTCTTTCCTTCTGGCTTTCCCACCAATATCCTATATGCATTCCTTTTCTCCCCAGAAATAAGACACTAGAAGAAGAAGGAGAAGAAGAAGAGTAAATAAAAAGAAATGACATCAGAAGGAGACGGAGAGGAACGCGAGATGAAAATTGTTCTTATTTATGGTTTGTTTAACAACGCTGTCAGTAACTGAAACTATATGACTCATGGTAAGATGGTAAATAAATACGTAAGATATGGAACGAAGCGGTCTGGACTTCGTTCTGAATTTTGCCTGGAGACATGACAGAAATTACGAAAAATCATCATCCCATTGTGATTTGAACCGGATACCTCCCGAATAGAAATCAGAGGTGTTAGCACTTGCAGCAGTTTTGTCGGCGAGAAGATGAAGAGGAGGAAAAATGGAGACAAAGAAGATCGTTGAGGGAACCTAAGAAAATGGAAAGGGGGGGAGGGGTGGATGTAAAGCGATTATACAGTAAGAGGAACAGAACAAGAAAACATTTTCGGTCTTAAGGGGTCATGAGTTCTTTAATGACGCTGTCAGTAGCGCAGATTATTTTGCTTCGAATGGTAGAATGATTCATGAATTGTAGATGTGCGGAAGGAGTCGATTTTCGCCTAGTTTGAGGCATTATTCCGACGTTTTCCTCGAGACACACAGAAAAAGAACGAAATCCCTCAACCAGCAAAACCGGTTTTAGTGAAGAGATCCTAACGTGGATCTTCGGTAAGAGAAGAAAGCGTGCTCCCCACTCACCGAAGAAGTTCTATCAGGGCTACAAGAACATGATCTTTTTCTGCGAACTTTACGAAATTTACGGCCGATTGATCCTTGCTCTGTAAAGTTCTCTTATGGCCTGTTTAATTAGGATCTGTGAAATGTATGTTATTAGAGAGGTCTTAGGCATGTTCACGAGCCGTAGAACTGCAGATATGCGTTTTAAAAGGGCTTGGTTCAAGCCTCGGTTATACTCACTCGGGTTTTATTGCGTTGTCTCAGTCTGTACAGAAGAATACTGGCCTAATACCCTGAAATATGCTAAACGTGCTGCGACCTTTGCCTTGCACCTAACTTACTTACAAACGAGTTTTCGTCATTTTCAAATCTTATCGGAATTTCAGTAAACTCCGTGGCTGAAGCAGCGTCGTTAAATCAGTTATTCTTGAGTATAAAGAGAGGAAGACGCAGACTTTACATTCACCTATCACAGTTTTCTTGACCTCAGCACTAGTTGGAGGTCAGTGGTCAGCTTCACGCCCCGGTCGCTTTAGCCCGAGGAAATAACCTCCGGTACCCAATGGATAGGAGGCTGGGTAGGCCCCAGAGCCGGTCTGGACGGCTTGGAGAAGCGAAAATTCTTGCACCAATCTGGACTCCAACTCCGACTCCTCGGTCGTCCAGCCCGTAGCCAGTCGCTATACTGACTGCGCTATCCCGGCTCCTCACGTCCAGCCCGTAGCCAGTCGCTATACCGACTGCGCTATCCCGGCTCCTCACGTCCAGCCCGTAGCCAGTCGCTATACCGACTGCGCTATCCCGGCTCCTCACGTCCAGCCCGTACCCAGTCGCTGTACCCACTGCGCTATCCCGGCTCTGTCTCAATGTAAGGTAGTCGTCATAATTGATATAAATAAAAATGTGACTTGAAATGTTTTCATACAAGTTTCCATTATTTTTGAAAATATTAATTAATATGCACTGTCCGCTTGAAACTCTACAGAAACGCATTCACTCGGTTCCTACGCCCAATATAAAACGGAAGGGTGGATAGACAGTTATGGAGACATAAGTTTGTATTACTGTATGCATGAAGTATGTCTGAAATGAGGTCATAAGACCAAAAATATGTCGAAACATATAATCACAGTTGTTGGAATGGCCCCAAGCCTTCGAGAGATGAGCGAAGTGGAGTGTAATGCGATAAGACGAGTCAGTGACCTCAGACATCAGTAACGACGAAAGGAGAGGTTCTAGCCGTTCTAGCAGAGTTAACTACGCTTTAGTCGGAAAACAGTGACGGCTAACCCCGCAAGTGTCGAAACATTCCATCATCACGAATATATACACAGCTCTGTCTTACACCATATGCCATCAATTGTAATTTTACTGTATAGCTGAGAGATTCCTTCTTGTATTTCAAGCCTTTGGGGATATCCTACCCTATTTTCTTTATTTTGGAGAAACTGAAAGAAGGCTTATGAGATCATGTTTGCTGTCTGCATGTCTGTCGGCCTGTCTATAGATTTTTTATTCGCATATTGGTGGGGGGGTGCAGTCAAACTGGGTTCACTCTGCACGGCGGCCACTGATTGGTCTGCCCCGGGTGATTATGATGATGGAGAATTTGGTGAAATGAAGATTGGCAGGGTAAACCAAAGTACTCTGAGAAAACCTGCTCCAGCGTCACTTTGTCCACCACAAATCCCACTTGACCAGACCCGGGCTTGAACCCGGGCCGCAGCGATGGGAAGCCAGCGACTAACCGTTTGAGTTGTGGCGCGGCCATGCCTGTCTATATAACGGCGCTTCTAATATTTAGACTTATGGAATCAATTTATTGTCTGTATGACTTCTGTGTGTCTGTGTAACCCCCCTTTTCTGTTTTCTATGTGGTATCAATGTACGCGAGTAATTCTTCCCAGAACTTCCTGTTATATACATTATCTAACCACGAGAGAAAAGCAGCTCTGACAATTTAAAATGGCGGCTTGCAACTCCAGATATTAACGCTGACTGTTCTAGAATTAATTGCTGGAAGTCTTGTTAATGTGGCATCCTGCAGTACATTTATCATTTGAGTCACTAGACTGGCATAGCTGTACATAATTAATTTTGTGACTTACCTGGTACGGATATATGTGTTATATAATTATCAGCGTTTTCATTTCCGTTAGTGTAGCTACGAACAACGGCATTACTCGGGCTTCTTACCTCAGAATCTCAGTTCAAAACCCATCGGACTTCATGTGAGAGTCGTGGAAGATCAAGTGACACTGGAGTTTCTTCGGTTTCCTCTAATAATCACTATTCCACAATCACCACCCCCGCTGAGGGGTGCAGTAGCCCCGTCCAGACAGCAAATTGCCACATAGTTGGACTTTAAGAATGGGACTTCATCTCTGTCCCCATAGTTTGGCTGGTTACAGAGTGGTGTAATTGTCGCCAAGTTAGCTAGCTTGCCCTCATTCTAACCCAACTGACACCCCCTTTACCCGGGAGAATCGACTCGGCCAAACTGAGTATTCGGAACTCAGTAGACACCAAGAATAATAGGAAAAGTAACAGAATAATTTCACTGTTTTAGAACAGTAAGTGAGCACTGTGCCAGTGATTGAGATTAGCTCTTTACAATGGACCCAGTTGGGTTTGTACCTCGCACCTTGTCACCACCTGAGGACAAGAATAGACCCAGCTTCCGAAAGATTGTGATGTATGAAATAGGCCTCTTGGACAGTGGACAGAAATCCAGTAACAATGGTAATGATTTCTTTGTTTGCAGCATTCCGCTTGGAGAACTCTGTAATTCTTATCATTATCTTTAGGGTCTGGTCGCAAGAGGTTCAATTTGCCAGCCTCGGGTCCTGGACGAGAGAAGCGCAGCAGCTGGTGGAATGTTAATTTTCATGGAAACGGAAGTGCTTGAAGGAAACTTTCCCCAGTTGCAAGATTTTCATAGAAGTGTCTTCGTCTGGAGGTTTACTGGCCTTAGACAGAAAAGAGTGTAAACTAGTAACAGGATTATGTAAGATTTGAGGTCTTCACGGCGGTGACTATGAAGAAAGCAGTCTTCTGGGATGTGGCACCATGTAGATGTGGTGTTAACCGACGTTTCGGAGGAAAGTACCGGTACTTTGTACCGGTTCTCACGGTCTCTTGCGGATTTCTTATTTTTCCTTCTACCCTGAAGATGGAGGAGATACTTTCCTCCGAAACGTCGGTAAACACCACATCTACACGGTGCCACATCCCAGAAGACTGCTTTCTTCATAGTAACAGGATTGGTGGTCTTTGACGGTCAACATAACAATAAAAATGAAATTAAACCAATGGAACTGCTGAAAATGGTTTTATTTGACAGTTGCTACATGTTTCGGTCCGCATGAGTCCTAGAGAAGCACTCCCCACCCCTTACCCCATTCTTGTGGCCAAGTCAGGTCTGACCACCACCGCAGAAACTTAAGAGCGAACATCTGTTGCGAAGTCTTTGACTCTCGGTAACTACTTAGGATGTTGCAAACCTAATTGCATGCACTTCATCCTACCGGTATTTTGCTACGAGGCGTTTGAAGACAAGTATTGATGCTCGGGCCATGATATGACTCCAGTAATCGACAAATGATCAAGTTTCCGTTGCGTATTTGGTGTTTCTTATTACGAGAGTACTGCGATAGACGGCATAACAAGCGTTATAGGTATCGCAAATGTCATAGGACATGTTCGTATGCTTCTCATGGAACAAAAAGTATTCGGGCTAGTTTTAATTGGAAAAAAGAAAATTTGATTTCCTGTTAACCCCTTGAAGTAAA